ACAAGGTCGACCAGAAAAGAGAGACTAGTGTGTTCTTGATTGGTTGGGTTTGGGATTTCCTTCCCATCAAATTTCTTTAATAATTAAGTGAATTTGACCAAAAAGCTCGAGCATGACAGACACTTTACAAACTCTCTTGATTCGTAACATTCAGTCAACAAAAGAATTATTGAAAACTTCAAAATGATGGCTTATTCCTGATAATAGCAAAATAAATGCCCACTAAGGATGTAAAATGGTTGTTCAAATAATAGGGCTACCGTCTGTCTAATTCCTCAAGACTTGATAGGTGGAATAACAGAAATTTGAGTATGGCTCAATCACAAATTATGTTGCGTTCAAAAGTGATTTACTATCCAGATTATAATATACTTTGTACCTTGATGTAGAGGGAAAAACGCTAAGTGAATATGGGGTATTAGATATATTAGCAAAATTAAGCAAATTAACGATGAATTAAAGCTGTTTGACCTCGTTTTACCAACTTGGTCATATTGGTAGGTAGGCCTAGAGGAACGCACTTAGTCCGGAGTCGATTGTATGCATGACCATTTCCAAAGTCGGACCCTGGACGTCGTACATTCCCAGACGTTTCGCCGGCATCATCAGAGTGTTTTGCCAGTCTCAGCAATCAATCTACAACTCGTCTAAGAAACAAGTGAAGCCTATCCTTTGACAAATTGTTTGCTAAACAATCGTGGTATCTCTCCTTCCGCCCTGGGCTAATCGTTGAGCCTATATCCTCGTACCACACCTTGACTATGACAATTTTACTTGCTTGTTTAAATGCGATATGATGCCCTTTTTAAGCGGCTTTGATGAGACCTCTCCACACTCAACGCTGGTTTCTCATCCCCCTTGTGCTGTAAATGTTAAGCAAAGTCTGCCATATTGTTATGCCGACCTCTTCCCTTAGGTCTTAACCGAGTCTCTCTCTTGCTTCATAGGATCCGTCTGCTATCTCCCTGGTTCAAGTATCTCACTCGACCCATGTCACCCCATCTGTGCTACTTGAGGCGTTATTCCCTACACTCTGCCTATGGGAGAGTAACTTGAGGCTAAAGCCCCTGAGCCATTCTCATTGTCAAGCCTTTGCTTGATGAAACATGTCTATGGTAAAGCAGGCCTACCGTCAGCCGACTAGCTCTGTTCTCAGCCGCGTCTATCCTGTTTCTAGCCCTCACACCAAGTCTATTACCTCCTATGCCTTAGTCTCTTGTACGCCAGCCCACAAATTTGTGATTTAGCCTTGAACCTAATTAAACTAATCAGTACCATAACATTTGTGGGTTGGCGCATAAGAGACTAGGGCAGAGGAGATATTATACTTGGTGTGAGGGCTAGAAACAGGATAGACGCGGCTGAGACCAGAGATAGTCGGCTGACGGTAGGCCTGCTTTACCATAGACGTGGTCCATTAAGCAAAGGCTTGACAATGAGAATGACTCAGGGGCTTAATCTCAAGTTAGTCTCCCAGACGCAGAGTGGAGGGGATAATGGCTCAAGTAGCACAGATGGGGTAGCAGGGGTCGAGTGAGATACTTGAACAAGGGAGATAGCAGACGGATTCTACGAAGCAAGAGAGATATTCGGATAAGATCTAGGGAAAGAGGATAGCGTAACAATATGGCAGGCTCTGATCAACATTTCTAGCACAAGGGTAAAGAGGTCTGTAAAAGCCACTCAAAAAGGGCACACCATCTCGCATTTAAATAAGCAAGTAAAAATTGTCATAGTGAAGGTGTGATACGAGGATAAAGGATTGATGATTAGCCCAGGGTGGAAGGAGAGATACCACGATTGTTTAGCAAACAATTGGTCAAATGATCGACTTCACTTGTTTCTTAGAGGAGTTGTAGATTGGTTGTTAAGACTAGCAAGACACGCGGATGATGCCAGCGAAGCATCTGCAAATGTACCACGTCCATGGTCCAACTTTAGATCATGCATAAAACCGAATCCTCTAGGTCTTCCTACCAATATGACCAAGTTGCGAAAACAAGGTCAAACAACTACTATACAACGAAAGGAGACTGCGGTCCACAAGAGGCCACACCATCTTGGTATTCATACCTTCGATTAACGGTGTATTGTTTCGCTGCGGGCTGCTAAACGCCAGTCATTTGTATAATTATTTTTAGATACTAGTTATAAAAATTAATTTTACCAAACTGAACATTTTCATGAAGCAATGTGTTGATACTCGATATTCTGAATAATGGAACTGTCATAATCTGATAAAAATAAACTGAAACTTACCAGAAATGTCCTAGAATAGAATAGCTTTTGGCAAGCAAGGCTATGTGAAATTCAATTGAAACTTAAGGTGTACTAATAGAATGAGGAAAAATTTAATAGCTAGTCCTTCATCAAATTAAACAAAAAAAATGAACACATTACATATGTAAGAATGAATAAGTTAAAAGAAAACTGAGATTTGAAATCCGGAAGCAGAAAATGATCCGGGAGACGGTAAAACGACCTCCGTATTTGTTAGTCATCGCAAAATGAAGATGGATGAACTCTGAGTGTAAATTTAACACATATCTTATTAAATAGCAAGGTGATTAGTGTCTTAAGTAAGCTATCAGAGGACAGATGGACCGACCTCTTATTTTTGTCCTTTGAGGTAACCGTTTCTGAAAGCAAAAGTGCCGCTCTGGCTTCGGGAGGCAGAGAGCTAGTATCAGAAGTGGAGGTTCCTTTGATAGCAGAAGCAGTTTCTGAGCCAGTTTCTTCGCTCCACAAGCCCCAGTAGCCGATTACCGCACCAGTGCCTGTCACCATACAGCAAACTTCCAAATGGCCGTTCACCTTTCCAATCATAATGATGAGAGGAAAGGAATCAGTCTGACAGAGAAGAAAGAAGAGCCATGATAAAGTAAACAACGACAAGATTATATTAAAGCGTATTTAAAAGTGTGCAAATAACTTCAGCTGAGCAATAGCTACAAAATTGCGCTTTTTGAAAAGTGATACCCCCTAAATGAAGGAGTATTACAAGCGGAGCAAAACAAATCAATGAAGTTGACGGCAGAACCGCTGCTATGAATATGTTTGAGTCTAAGGAAAGGTGGTATTAATGGATAGACTAACTATTATATAATAGCTGGGATTATCAGAGATAACACCGAAAACCTGAGAAAATGAAGAACGAGAACTCTATATATATATATATATATATGCTCAAGCAGCAGTTGGGTTTAACTTCAAGAAAGTAGGCTTAATGTAGTCTTTTAAGACACAGTCGCATGAAAATGTGGAAAATAGCCT